ACAACAACACATTGAAAAGCTTGAGTAGAAATTAAGCTGGAAACCCGGAAACGTTAGTAACTGACTTTTTTGACTTTAGAAAGAATGCTTTTCTTTTTTACCTATGGGTATAATTCTAAACTTGACTACTTTATGAAGTATTTCATATTCTATGCTTAATAGTGAGTTGCTCAATTACACCTATTTAAAACCCATGCTGAATATTTCTTGGCAGAGATTGGCAGAATTCAACAGGATAAGCTTTCCATGCCAATGATCTCATTCTAATGAGGCAAATGGAAATAGCGGGTAGCAGCAACAGCCTGTGTTTTTCTGAAAAGTACGTATTAACTTTCATGTCTGATTCTCTTGTAAATTCTCTCATTACCTAACCTTTTATATTAATAGGAAATTAATGGAAGTGACAGTCTTCCTATGCATTTGATCACAGCCTCTATGTTCTTTCTTTATTCTTTAGAGCTAATTCAGTTATTTGTCAGCTCTGGTCTAACATTCATGATGAAATATTGTATGTTTTCCCTCGATTTGTGAAAGCAAGAAAGTATAAAAAAATTTCTCGATTTTGTAACATTTGTGTATTTAGTGATAAACAGTTTTGTTGAATGACAGAATGTACATGACAGCATATCTCCCTGATTCTGCATTATGGTCACTGTCATGTATCCTTGCTTTTGTAATATTACCTTTGTTTTCAGCAAATAAAGAGTATACATGTGCATGTGTGTTTACATATGGAATGAATGTGGCAAAATGTTAAAAAAATCTTCTTGTTATTTTTACTCCAGGTCCTTAGGAGACCAGTGCCTTTTACATTAGTCAGGGAACAGTTTGATGCTGTTTTTCAGGAGGGCATATTTAAAAAACAAATAAGTATATATAAAGGATGTACCTTTTTTCAAATGATGATTATGTAGAAGTGTTATTAAATACATGTTATTTGAATAATGATAGCAATATTTGAAACCTCATTTGTTTACTATCCAGTTTGACAATATAGTCTTTTCAGCTTTATTCTCTGTATTTTAAAATAGAATTACTGATGCTAATATATAAACAGAACAGATGCAAAGTAAAAGTCACTTTGCATCACAAAGTAATAGATACTTAAATATATTAGTGATTTAAAACATAAAAGCAGTTTCTGCTAGTCATAATGCAATGATTTTGTCAGTCTTAATTACCAGATGAAAATGTACTCTACAACTGAAACTGCCATATTATCCAATTTTCACTACTGAGGAAAAGGAAAAAAAAAAATCACATTCCACTTACAACTTTGAATACAATTACTGGTCTCCCTGGTAATTTTATAATATACATATGATCCTGTCTCTGGGTCAACCTCAACTGCTTTCCTGGGCCCTAAACAGGAAGCTGGATGAGAAGCAGAGCTGCAGGAGTGGGAACTGGCATTCATGTGGAATGACGATGCTTGCAGGAGGAGGATTAGCCAGGTGAGCCATTGAGACAGCCTCTCAGTTATAATTTTTTCTGGGAATTACAAATGTTAACTGTGATATAAAACAGTGCATAATGAGCATTTAAAAAATAATGTTTTTGTCAATTGTAGCTGGAAATTAAACTATTATTTGAGTCATGTAAGTTTAATTCTAAAACTGTAAAAAGTAAACAAGTATAATAAAATTGTAACGTATAAGAGAACTTAAGCTTACAATTGTAGGGCTTCAAAAAATTCAAGGAACATATCATTAAAATCTATTTTGGTGTGAAATTTTTGAAATTAATATGTCATCATGTAATTTACAAAGAAGCATCTTGGAATTCTGAGGTTTCAGAACCAAGTTGTTTTGATTATTATTATTTCAGCATTCTTTCCAACATGGCATATTTCTTGAATACAACAAATACTAAAGTCATCTCAAAAATAAAAGTTTTAAATATCAATGACAATAACTATGAAGTCATTTTATTAACTATAACATTGCTATAATCCAATAGAATTAAAATGGGTTTCCATTATGCCAGATGGCTATTTCCTTTATGGTTACAGAGGCAGAGATGCATCCTCTCTAAAGAAAAAGGTAGAAACTCAAATAGTTCCATGATAAAAATACTTTATAGGTAAAAACAAAATAAGATCTAGGTAAATGATCTCTTAGAAAGCATCATTCCTCTTTAAAGCAAAAATAACTTATTTTAATGTTAGTTTTGGGGAAACATGCAAAATAAAAGGGATAACAGAAAGGTAAGCTGCAAATAAACAGACCATTTTCTATTTCATTTAGGTCCAAGTATTAAGTTTTACTTTATTTAAAAAGTTAAGATATCTATAGAAAATTAAACCAACTGACTTTGGAGATTTAAAAGATTTCTAACAACATGAATACTGTTATTTGATCAGATGTGTATTGTTGAAAGAAAAGGATAAAGAGAATAGATGAGTGTAAGTTTAAAGATGGGTAATAAAATTATTATCAGGACCTTGGATCTTACTGTGGAGAAAAGAAAGCATATATGCTGATTGAACGAGAGTGGCATGGTCTAATAAGGACCATGCTGGCTGCAATTATGGAATGGATCACAGAGATCAGGGGACCAAGGCAGCATTGAGTAGACCTTCCCAAACATTCTCACCTCTAGGGACATGATGATGCTTGGGCTCAGAAAACATAAGACATGATAGTTGAGAAATGGTCCTTCTATGTTTATATTTTAAAGGTAAAATCACTATTTGCTGATGAACATCATATAAAGGATTTAAGAAACAGAAGAATCAAAAAAAAAAAATCTTGGATTACCTGAACATTGAGAAAGTTTTCATTCCCATCAGGTGAAACATTAGTGAAAGAATAAAAATTCAGATATAAATATGTTAGGATGAAGTTAGATATAGATATAGAGACGTACATATTTAATGTATAAACTTCCATTTCAGATGGGAAATTAGGCTTGAGATCAGGGTTGTTTACATCATGATACAGGATGAAATCACCTGGGAAGAACGAGTGAAATGAGAAGACAATCAAGAACAGAAATCTGTGATTCTCCTAAAGCTTGGCTCCCATCTAACCTTTACAGCAAGCAATCACAGAGATAAGAAAAGACTATTATGGAAATCAGAAAGAAGCCATGCTTGTAAAAAGGCAACAGCATCCTTCTAAGGTTGTTTGTGAGACTTTCAGTTGAGGATAAAAAATTTAACTTCTGACTCTCCCGCATGGAGTTTCCTGGTGACCTTGATGTCTGAAATTTCCCACTGAATGGATTAGTGGCAACAAAATCTTGACTGAGTGTGGATTTGAGAGAGAGGGACATAAAAGGAATTTGTGGCAGTTTTAAAATTATCAAATAATAGGACAAAAACCAACAAGGGAACTGAAAACCATATCTGTATTCCTAAAACAAGAGGACTTTACCAGCAACCATGATCCAAGAGAGCGAAAGTGGATGAGGTTTTTGATTACATCACAGAAAGGAATCCAGTCATCATTTGAATGATCTTGTGTTAAAGGACTATACGATCTTCACTTGGTTTTTTACAGTGGAAATAGTTTAAGTGATGGGATAGTGGAGCAAGCAAGCATGCAGCTCTCTATGTCGGTAAGGAAAACACTGAAGTCAGTGTGCACACAGAACGAGATTCCCCAAAGCAGAGACAGCCCATCACAATGATTTCATCACTTCCTTTGTCATGCATTGTTGAGATGAGTATTATGCATCTTCTAACACTGTTGCTTTCGTATTCCTGCAGAAAGCTTGCATGGTCATAATCGAGCACGTATGGACTCCAAATCTATGTATGTTTTCAAAACAGAAGAAAGAAAGAGGCACAGACCCAGATTGAGAGATATCTTCCAATCTCAAGTTCTCCATCTACATGTTTCCAACCGCTCAGTACAGGCCTGGACTGAGGGCAAGAGCCAACAGCTCAAGCTAGGTCTCCCATATGGGTGACGGGACCCAAACACTAGTCATCAGGCTGCCTCCCAGGGAGCTTCAGTTAGGAGCTGCAGTTGGGAATTAAACCCTGACGCTTAGTGGTGCACAATTTGGGAATACCGCACAGCCAACACTTATGTGCTCATCCTTGGGACAGACTTTGTTTTCCAGAACTTGAATTCATAATTAGAAAATAAATTTGGCTGCAAGTTGGGATGCTGTAAGGTCAAGGAATATTGTTTTGTTGACTGTTTTACAAAGGATAAGATCATATTCATATGATAAAAGAGAAAAGGAAGTAAATGAAGAAATTTAATGACACAGGCAGTGTACAATCAGTGAAACACAAAATAAATGGAGTCATTTGGAGGCATCTAGGGAGGCTGATTTTGTAAGGATAAAGCAACAACAAGTAGGTTTTGTCAAATCAATGAAGAGGTGAAACTTATGCATACTTCATTTGGGATATAGATTTCCTCATCTGTCCTTCAAGATCATTCCCATTATAAACACCTAGCAGGTCTTGTCATTGACTTGTTTGTTATTTTAAAGCTGGGTAGTTTAGAAAATTATACTTATTTTGTCTCTTTGTGTGTGTATTTGAAACAATTCCTATCTTCCAGCTTCATTGTTCAAGGAAACCTTTTCAATATAATGATCATCTTTAAATAGCTTACTCATATGCTCAAAAGGAGACTCATTTTTAAAAAAAGTTTATTGATTATAAATGCCCAAAGAAAAATAAAATCTTAAAGAGTTTGTTTTTATTTATAAACAGAACACTGGAGCTTCTGAGCCAGGCAAATTGAATGACACTGCCTGGTGCTTTGGAAGTTAGTGTCTGCCCCTTCAGTTCTAATGGACATCTGATCAACACTGGCCAGTTTTTTTGGCCATCTGTCAATCTGATGTGGGATCATTCTTCCTTCATCTACTCTTAATAGCACTGGCTGTCATAGTCACCTTAGACCAGATGTCAGGGTTCCCATTATCCTTATGGTTTCTCTCTAACCTTCATCTATGTTATGGTAATGTTTTCACTTTACTCATCAGAGTGTAGTTTTTGCTGCTTTTTAAAAATCTTTTAAAACAATAATTATGTGCTCGCTTCAGCAGCACATATAGTAAAATTGGAACAATACAGAGAGGATTAAGATGGTTCCTGCACAAGGATGACATGTAAATTCATGAGATATTTTTTATTTTTATCAAAAAAAATATTATTTTCTAGCCCAGCACTGTTGCCTAGCGGCTAAAGTCCTCACCTTGCGCCACGAGCTGGGATCCCACATGGGCTCTGGTTCTAATCCTTGCCATCCTGCTTCCCATCCAACTTCCTGCTTGTGATCTGGGAGGGTTGTAAGAGTTAGAAAAATCATTTTAAAAATGCAAAATGCACTTAGGAATTTAGGGTTTTCAGAAAAATATAAACCATCAGAGGTTTGTTGGAGAAAATATGTTTTGAGGAGGACAGTATTATGGCATAGCAGATAAAACCACTGCCTCCATCTTAGTATGCCATTTGCAAACCAGTTTGAAGCCTGGCTGCTCAACTTTTGATTCAATCCCTGCTACTATTTCTGGAAAGGCAGCAGGAGTTGGGTCATGTGCTTTTACACTAGAATCTGATTGGGAAATATAGAAGAAGCTCCTGGCTTAAGTTTTGCCCAAAGCACTGTGTCTACTTGGGTATTGAACAGGCAGGAGGAAACTTTCTCTTTTTCTTTTTCTTTACCTTTGCCTTTCAAATCAACAAAATACATTTTTTTAAAAAGTAGCAATTAAAACACAAACTCCCCAAAACTAGATCCATACCTTGAAACAGAATTCTCACATTCAAAGATTAAGGTGTCAGTATTTTTTTGTTGTTGTTGCTGTTGTTGAACCTGAAATAACCACACTGAACTAGCTCATCTCTAAACACAAAGACACAAATTTTCACAAAGGGTAATTAATTTTTAATTTTTTTTTAATTTGAAAGACAAAATTATAGAGAGGTGAGCCAGAGAGGGTGGACTTCCATCTTCCAGCACATTCCACAAATGTCTACAATGCTTGGAATTCATTCAATCCCAATGCAGGAGCTTCTTTTGCATTTCCAGCATGGATACAGGGGCCTAAAGACTTGTACCATCCTCTGCTGCTTTCCTCATCCATAAGCAGGGAGGTGAATGGGAAATGGGACAAATGAGACAGAAACTGGTGCCCGTATGGAACGCTGGCATCACAGATGGAGGCTTAGCTTACTACATCATGGTGCCAGCACCAAAGAGTATCATTCTTTTCAAAGTTGAGTATTCTAGGGAAGATGTCCTACAAACTTTGATAACAGACATTTTTAGCAGCTGATTAGAAAAAGGGGAAAATAAAAGCTGATTTAATCTTCAAGGATGAACTGCATTTCTTCTCCAAATCTAAAGAATTCTTTCTAGCCATGGCCATTAACTCTTCTTCAACAGAATGAGTGAAACAAAATGTTTCAGTCAACAGAAAGCCAAACTCCATCTTATCTATTGTGCTGTCCTTGAAAGAAGTTTTCCAGTATCATAGAAACAGTGGCTTATTCATGGGAATAACAGCAGTGAATGATTTTTAATAGGCAATAACGAAGTAGACAGTAGCAGGTAGGAAAGGTTTTATTCCACATTCACTAACATCTCCACTGGGGTAAATTAGAAATTCTTTTATAGCAAGATTTGTACTTCAGAACACAGAACAAAACTGAATGTTTATATTTCAAAAGGCTTCTGCTGCATCTCCCAAGTTAGTTCTAAAAAGCCCCCTTCAGAAACTCAAGGAGAATTTTAAAGTTTGAAATAGTTATGTCCCTAGTTTTTAGTTTAATCTTTTGAATATTACCTCTTCACAAAGTAAATGATGCCACCAGGGCATTTTCATAGGAAAATAAAAATCAAATCTAATGTCTAAATAAAGCAATGTCATTTATGCAGTTTTTTAAAATTCATCTAACCAACAAAAAATACTAAATGATACTCATATAAGTATATTCTTTGAGGGAAGTTATCATAGGTTTTCAGAGTCATATCTAAGTTTGTATCACATATTTATGCTTTAAACTTTAAATACAAATAATTAGGGGTTTTTGGTGTTGCTTCTTTCCATACTTTTCCGTTTGGTTTCATTAGTTAAAGTATAAAGCACTTGGCACACTCAGCACACACATGCATGCATTTCAAGGAATATGAGTTTAAAGGTTTAACCTCCTTTACTGTTTTCAGAAACAAAAGCAAGGAAAAAAAAAAAAAAACCAGAAATTTGTTCTCTTGCATAGTCTGGTGCATAGTGCAGAATTGGCATATTGCTCTGTGCTCTCACACTGATGAGTTGCTTTTGTGTCACTTCTCTCTGGGTAGCCATCAGTCTTAACTGGCCTAAATTGGCATTAGCAGCTTGACTTGCAAAGGGTTCCATGACTGGTGATGGGCAGAGCAAAGAAGAAAGCTATGCCTCTCCAAGTCTTCCCAGATTTTAAGTCACACTTTCCAATGACACTGCTTCGGCCCCAATCAAAACCGATGAGTATGTCCTGAAAAAGAAGACTAAGCAATACAGTCTCTATTCTGTGCACCCATGCGCACAGGGAAGTGTACTGTGATTATGAACAATCATATTGGTTAGGCACTTCACCTCCATATATACTATAAATATTTATAGTATATGGGAGTATATTAATAAATATTGAATATGGTATATTGATATTAGCATGATATTTTACTAGGACTTCGAATAAAAACTATAATGTATAAACTTTTCAAGCATAATTTTGAGTCATAACAAAGTATTATTATTGGAAACAAAAGAGCAACAAGAAATAATAACATTTTGGATATCAGGAAAATATGCATGAAACTATTAATATATGCTTTTTTCTATTCAAAGTAAAGAATTAGTATGGATTTGTCGTTGAAATAATTAGAAATATGATCCCTCAACTGACTAGATCAGAAGTCTATCTTAAATGTACACCTAGGCCAAAAACAAATACAAGAATTGAGGTGAAAGCGCTATTAATCCTTCTAAATTCATGCTCAAAATAATTAGTGTCATTTAAATAGCACTCTGGAGTCTAATATTGTTTCAATGGCTCTTTCAATTCTGACATTAGCTTCAGTTTGAAGGTATAAATTTGAAGTCATTTGAGTACTATAAACAGAATAATGGCAGTTAAGTAAAGTTCTATAACTGTTTTAAACAAAACACTGAAAACAAAATAGAGGAGACAATTATTGTTTCCCAATGTGAAATTCAAGATTGAACATAAACATACATTTTATGAAATGTGGTACAGAATTTACAGTTCAATGAAGGTAAATGCAAATACAGTAAGCAAAGGGCGCTTCATAACGCTGCTTGTAGTATCAAAGTGTCTGTAGCTACATATGTGCTCACCAGTAGGCTGGAAAGACAGCAATACACCCTAGAGTGGGATATTAGATAAAAATGCATATGCTACATCTTTGCCATGATTAGAAACATTCATAATGTACTATCATGCATTAAAAGAGAAAAAGCTTTTTAAAAATATACTTTAAAAATGAATCACTCTTTTGTTTATATAAGAATTGATAATATTATTAAAATGATAATATTTGAGCATAACAAGAAATCCAACTATAGATTTCAGCAACAGTAAAAAAGGACTACCGTTTATTTCTTAACTATAAGCCCATTTACAGTTGGTAATTTTATTTCAAATCTATATTTTATTAGCGCTTCTCAAACACTACTCACAGAATCCTAACTAAACATTACAATAAAGAGATGTTTGACTCAGATAAGTAATATACTTGTATTAACTCACATCTTTGAAAATGTATCAAGTATTTTAAAGCAACCTACTATTTAAACAAAAATATGTTAACAAACCTATCTTTGTAAAAGCTATGTTATACATTCAGAAGCATAAAAAGTTAGACTTATGAGGGAAAAAAAATATAAAACTAAGATGTTGGGCCTGGCATGGTGACCTAGTAGCTAACGTTCTCACCTCACACATGCCAGGATCCCAAATGGGCACCGGTTCCCATCCAGCTCCATGCTCGTGGCCTAGGAAAGCAGTCAAACATGCCGAAAGCCTTGGGACCCTGAACCCGCGTGGGAGACACGGAAGAGCTCCTGGCTCCCGTCTTCGGATCAGTGCAGTAACGGCCGTTGCGGTCACTTGGGGAGTGAATTGTCAGATGGAAGATCTTTTTCTCTGTTTCTCCTCCTCTCTGTATATCTGACTTTGCAATAAAAATAAATAAATAAATAAATAAATCTGAAAAAAAAACTAAGATGTTGAAAAGTTATAGTGCAAACCAAATTTCTATATTATGTCTTATGAATGTATGCAGCAAATACATTGATTCTGAACGAAACTAAGGGTATAATTTACAGGCAAAATCCCCAATTTAATAACACTATATTTTTACACTAAATTATAAATACCTATGGGTTTTTTACAGTCATTTTGATATTTTATACTGGTTTACATGATAGCCAAACAAATGGTGAAAAAAACAGAATAATCAAATTTGAAAGCCAGTATCAACATGACATTAATATGGCATTAATAATTAATGTCATATCATTATACTAGTATGTGACATTGATTCATAAACTGTTATTTTGGAGCAAATTGTATATAGAGAAAAATATATTATAGATATAGACTGATTCAACTCTTTTTTATTTTTTTTGTAGATTTTTATGATACAGTTCCAGGCTTGAGATTTTCCCCTCTCTTCTCCCAACCCCCAATTCTCATCTCTCTCCCTGATTTTCCCTATTTTATTATAATAGTATAGACCCTCAAGAACAGTCGAAGGTTCATCATTTTGCTATTTACGTGTTCATATGTTTTTAAAAATGTGATGACCACCTACATTGTTGCTCAGAAAAATTCACAAAGTAGTGCACTATATATAAAGATGATTATGATGATGGGATGGTTTCCCAATATTTTAATTTCATTACATTTCCTCCATAAAACAAACCAAAAATGCCAAGTCTAGAGGTAAATAAAATACCTCTAGAAAGGATGTATATTTTAGTTTCCGTGCGATTTATGCATTAGAGCACAATCCCTCCTCTAGCGCAAGTCACTTTAGGAAATGAATTTTAGATTACATCGCCTTCATCCACGGTGTTTTCCTGATAGTCCATAAATTCCCTGTTGGGGATAGTAAAGTCTTTAGTGGTTTC